CCTAAAATTTCATTTTGCTCATTTTAGTGATTACAGCAAACATATTTCTTTCATATTCTCATGATAAAACAGAAATAAAACACATTTATTTGTTCAACAATTTCATTACAAATCAGGGAGTTCCTGAAAGGGTTTAACTTATAAAATGAACATGAAAAATAAAATCTTTACTTTATAAATTTCATTCCATATAAAATTTTAACACATGTAAAAATATTTTATTCGGGGTGGTTTTTAGATGTCCTGCAATTATAAAATTATATTACACGCAGTCAACATTTGTAAACACTTTTGTGTTTCACATGATTACAACCTATTATTAATGACTTCTTAAAAAGCAGGGTAGAGCATAAGATAAGGAACATTAATAAGGAGGTTCTGGTGGGGGTGGGGGAACAGACAGCTGCTAAACTCACAAAGAGACCTTCAAACTTTCAATAGCAAGAACGCGTTGCACAAACAAGAAAATTGCTGGTCTCTACAAAAATAAGTCTTGTGAAGTCTTGTAACCTTTGCAGTATGTGGCTATTCGTTGTTATAATTCATCTGGGAGTTTCTTAATGAAGCAAAAACCAATACAAGGCTCTGTATTCAATAAAATAAAAAGCTTTTGCATAGCAAAGGAAACAACATAGTGAAGAGACAGACTAAAAGTGGGAGAAAATCTTTAACTATCATTCATCTGACAGGGGATTAAGATCCAGAATATATAAAGACTCAAATAATTAAACACCAAAATAAAAGTAATCTGATCAATTAATGGACAAATGAACGGAACAAATACTTTTCAACTAAAGAAATACAAATGGCCAATTAATACATAAAAAATGTTCAATATCCTTAACTATCAGGGACATGCAGATCAAAACTACATTGAGATTTCAGCTCACCCCAATCAGAATGAATATTATTCAAGAAAACAAATAACAACATATGCTGGTGAAGATGTTGGAGGGGGGAAGGAATCCTTATACATTGTTGGTGGGAATTAAATTAGTGCAACCATCATGGAAATCAGTATAGATGTTACTTAAAAAGCTAAAAATAAAACTCCCTTATGATTCAGTTTTCCCACTACAAGGTATATACCCAAAGGAGTCAGTCAGCTTACCATAGAGATAGCTGATATCCATGTTTGTCATAGCATTATTGACAATAGTCAAATTATGGAATCAGCCTGAGTGCCCATCAATGGAAAAATTGTTAAGGGAAAAGTGGTAAATATACACAATGAAATTTTACTCAAAGAAGAATAGCTATGTTATTTTCCGGAAAATGGGTGGAACTGGAGATCACTGTGTTAAGTGAAATAAGCCAGACAGAGAAAGATAAATATTGCATGTTTCCTCTCATTTGTGGAAGTTGTGTGTATAAGGGAACTATAGCAAAAACAAGGTCATGAAAACAGAGGGAGATTAGTAGGGAGGCAGAAGGGAAGGGGAAAAGGAGGTGTGAGGGGGAGGGAGGAATGGAAGGGTGCACTTATTAAAGTGCATTGTATGCATATATGGAAACATAATGAAACATCTTACAATTAATATATTCCAATAAAGATAATATATATAAAATATGTTCTAGTAGTGTTTAAACATACAAACTGTGCCTTGTCTAATATTTATTTTACATAAATAAAAATAAAATAAGATACTGTTAACTTCTTTCAGTAGCTACTTTAGAGTCTTTACAGTAATAAGTATATTTTTCATCTCATATCCACTTGTCTTGACTAAAATTTATATTCACTTTGGTTTCAAGTAGCAGCTCCAAATGGACATGTGGATGACATCATGAACACAATTTGTTTAATTTTCTAATTTAAATTAATCTCCTAAATCATAACTACCAAATATACTTTTTATCCTGCTATGAAATATATATGCTCAAAAATTTAAGCCATAAATACTTACTATCCATTTCTTTTTCTTCTTTGGTGGTTTTGGGGGTTTGAACTCAGAGTCTTGTGCCTACTACTTGAGCCATGCCTCTAGCCCTTTTTTGGTTATTTTTCAGATAAGGTTTTGCTTTTTTGCTCATGCCTGGCCTAAGACTGTAATCCTCCTACCTCCAAATAGCTGGATTACAATAGCGAGTAACTGCAACCTGCATCTATTTCTTACTCTTACAAATTAGTTGATTCTTCTTCACAGAACATTTTGAGTACTACCTTAAAGTTTAAAATAAAAATCCTAGTATTTAAGAGGTTAACAAACCATAACAAATTTAGAATGGAACAAGGGCTATCTCAGGAAAAAGGTAATGGAAAGTATTTTTTAAAGTCCTCAGAATTATTTCAGCTGCAAATTTGTTCATGTACAAGGATGGAATTGTGAGTACACATGACACTCCATATTAGACTGATAATTCTGCCCACTTGCAACTTCCTCTCAGCTTGAAGTAAACTTCAGGAGCAATGTGCAACTACCAAATATCTCAAAAAGGTAGTTCCCTATCTTCAGGTATATCCAAACTTCAGTTATGTGTTCTCTGGAACATATGTTTACACAAAGATTATGGATTAAAATCATTGATATAATCATTGTTTGCATGTGCGTGTGAGCGTGTGTGTGTATATGTGTGTGTATGCGTGTGTGTGTGTGTGTGTGTATGACTAAGGGTGTTAGGGTAGAGAGCAGAGAGCCATGGAGGAATGAATATTGAAGTTTAAATCAGGGTTTTAAGACTCCTCAATATTTTCTTAGATTCATGCTATAGAAGAGTAAAAATACATTTGTAAGTCCCGAGATGACAAAGATCATATATATCGTTCATGCATAATCCTTATTTATTCAAAGAACAAATGAATAAAAACTCCATTAAGATGCCTGCTTCCATGAAGGTGCAGTTCTAATCTAAATTCTAAACAAAAACATCAAATAATAATAAATTCCCCTGTACATAATGACTCAGTTCTTGACAAGGAATTTCATGTTTCAGATACTTTGAATTATCACAGATGCCAAGCTTACTGCAGGGCTAATAAAAATATTCTAGTCACCTGTCCCAGGCATTGCTCTTGCCCTCCTCTTCATTATTCTGTCCCCATAGCTTGTTTTTTCTCACTAGATTAAAAAATAACTAGCAAAAGAAAACTAAACACTTGTTTCGTAGCCTCTTTCCTCCCAAGGCCAACATTTTCACTAAATTATAGTTTCACAAATGAAAAGCATGTGGACTTTAAAAGCATGCTTTTATTCACAGAAGATCTGAGTTACAAAGGACCCTGCTTTTGTGAGTGGTTCAAGCTGGTGTCAGTCGCTGTGCACAGGCAAACATGGCTGACGGGCACCAAGTTAGGGATGTTCACCTGAGGGTTAGCAGAGACAAATTGCACTGCTCACTCTTAATGTTAAAGTCAGACAAACTTGCTTGTTCCCAAGACGGAACTGTTACCTCCTGAGGTAAATGAAGCTGTGCTAGCTATTCAGTTGGCAAGGTAAGAGAACTGGGTCTGCTCCTGCAATCTGATTATGCCAGCATTAGGTTTGTAAAATGAAATCTGTCAGTAACAAAAATTACAGTCTAATTTAGGCAACCGTCTTCCCAAAGGTAGGAGAGAAGTTTGTGATTTTTCTATGTATGCTTTTCTATTTATTGCAAATTCCTACAGGATTTATCTGAGGTTACAGAAAGATATTAACTTACATTTGACATGTTTTTTATTGAAAGCTGATTAATTTGCTTTTTTGCTTGCAGTTCAGAAGGACAGAATTGTGACTAGAAGCTCTTCATTTTGTAAATGGACTCAAAACATTCCACACCTCAGTATATATCCATTAGACATGTTTCTTTTGTCAATAAAATCTATAAACTATTTAATTCTAAAGGAAAATATAAGCCCATCTCATTTTTCCTACCAATGGTCTAGTGAGAATCTTCTACATTTTTCTAAACTAGAGCATCTATGGAGCCTGGCATTTGTGGCTTATTACCACTGTGCAGAGTTGGGTTTTGACAGGAGAAAAGTGGAAAGGAGAACCTCTGAACACTCACACTAAAAAACTGTGCTGACAAAGTATCCTGCAAGATGGAGATCAATCAATTCCCCACTTACCTGATGGGTATACATGTGATATTATCTTGACTTAGAGATGATGGAGAAATAAGATCTATAGACAGATCACTAGCTCTTTGTAGCACTGATTCTTTGCCTCATATGCTAATACTATTTTACTTTGAATCACCTTTTAAAAGCATCATGTCCAAATATCATTTTATAGCCTAGAGATTCCAAAATCATTGATTTACAACAAGACTTAGTACTCGGTAACACTAACATAAAAGAATTTGAAGTCTCTGGGTAATAATAATGTAATCTAAATAACTATTTTTATATTAAGGATGGAATAAATACTGGTAATTAGTTAATTGTGTCACTTGGAATAGACTTGGTTTAGCTGTAGTTACAATTTCCTAATTGCAGTGGCTTAACACAATGAAAGCTTTTCTTGTCTCTGAAAAGTCATCTGGGTGTGCAGGCCACTGACTCTCCATGTGTTGCCTCAGCCATCAAGCCTTCTTGCAGTACCTGATTCCACAATTCCACAGTCAACACAATTCACAATTTTGGTGGCAGGGATACAATGTGGAGAATTTCACGCTGGCAGTTAAATACATCTTCCCTGACACTTCTGTTCAGATTTTATTGGTTTAAAACAGTCTGTGGTCACAATCCCTCTATTTCAAGTGTTCCCAGAAGGAGAAGAAAACTAGAAATATTGGTTAGTGGCATTGTCTATACAAGTGTCCACCTATCCAAGGGAAATATCCCATGGGAACATCTTCACACAGGTGTGAGAAAGCTCTATGGATCACGTGTGAATGTGTGTGGACGGGTATAAGACAGAGGGCTAAGGTCCTGGGCCGGGTAGTCAGGAGAAGTATGAAATATAACTTTAACCTCCACAAACCCATATAAACCCAAAGGGGAGGAACACCCCAAATAATGTGGGACTGCACAGAGAGAAAGGAAGCATGATGCTGCTTTCACAGCCCACATTCACCTTGTCTGGCCTCAGGCAGCGAATGATAAGCATCCTTTGAAAGTCATTTGCTTTTTCTTCCCAGTCTTCAGGGAAAGCTTCATGGTGTGGTTCCTAAAACAACCGTGCACATAATTCAGTGATGGAAATTGCATCCAGAAAGTACAGTATTCTGCTATATGAACCAACTTCGAAAGAAGTGAAAACAAGAATGCTTGAGAGAATTTTCACTATTTTACTAAAGTTGGGGCAAAGTTAATGTCAACATGTGTACCTTGGAGACTTCAGGGTAAACTCTGGTTTCTCAACTCAGAAATCTGCATGCTTCAACATAGTGAATAGAATTTCAGTTTTAAATTAGAAAGAAGTACAAAAACATATTTGTTTCTAGGAAACATTTTCATTACTAAGAAGGAGAAACCCAAAAGTGATCCTTTCCAAATATGTGAATTCATGTGCAGACAGAATCTCACTATCTTGTATAATACGCAAACTACAAAATATAAGACAACCCAGGAAAGAAAATACTCTCCACTTTTTTAGTTCTTTCTTTTCACCTCCAACTTTCCAGAGCCCTTGCATATTATATCCAAGGAAAGTAGAAAGCCAAAAGAGTAGAAATAAAGGAGTAGAAAAAAGTAATGGAAATTATAAAAATATTAGTCCTTGAGCCAAAGAAGAACTGAGGGAAGGCAGGTATTGCTTTGTACTCCAGAAAGGAAACTGTATTATGGTATATATTAATCATAATAGACTCCAGAAAGTAAGACAAGGTCTCATGAAAATTCTTTTCAACTACTAGCTCTTCCCTTTCCTCAAATGACAAAAATTCTTGCTAGTTTACCTCCCACATTTAGAAAATCTAAACAACAGCTATTTCATAAAATGTTAACTCATCTTGATAATGATTGCCAAAATCTAAATTGATAATGAATGAAAACTTGGCAAGGAAGCTCAACAAGAATATTTTTAAGGATTACGTAGTTCTTTTGCATTTCTACACTTTTCAAGGAGTTTGGATGGAAACTTAACTAGAACCCGACTTTGAGATGGAGATAATATAAGTCAAAACTTACTATTTTAACATCTGACCAGTCATTTAAAGCTTATTTTAATCTTGTTTTTATGCAAAAATAAAGAGCTATTTAACATTATCCTCTTCATTTAAAACTTGTGGAATAAGCAAGAGGGTTAAAACATACCAAACTATCATATACTTTTTTCCATGAATCCTTTAAGCGTATAAACTCCTTACGAATGGTCTTGAAGGAAGGCAAGTCATCTAATCGGCATATTTCATCCCAGGACTTTTGAGGAAGCCACGTACAAGGGTTGGTATGAGGATTATCCAGTCCAATGCCCCCAGTTAACAGAAATCTCCACTCAGCCTTATTAATCTTTGGAACACACGGCAGCATGAAGAGTCAGAAATGAATTCATCATAAAATAGTTAGTTTACAACCATTTTAGAAGAATTGAATGTTGATTGAGAAGTCTCAGATATGGTCCCTATGATATTCTGTAACTGATGCAACTCAACATTTAGTCAAAAATCCCAAATTATCCAATATAGCAAGTTTTCTTTTGGCAGTACTGGTTTTGAACATAAGGCCTCACTCTTGCTAGGCAGATGCTCTATCACTTGAGCCACACCCACAGTCCACAGTTAATTTTAAATAGCTACTTTTGATCATTTTCCTCCAAAATTACTGGTTTAAACATGAAAATCTGAACATATTTTATTTGAATATGTTCTCCAAAATAATTTCTTAGACCCCTATTGGCTCTAAAACTTGTAGAAAAATAGAAAGTCATCAGTTTGCCATGTTTTCAATTGTTTCCCATAAAGTGCAATGAATTACTATGAAACTTTTTATAAGAAATGCAAGAAATAAAGCCTTTATTCTTTCAGAATTCCACCAATACATTACTACATGAAATAAAAAATCCTCAAACACATAAATGTATAGCGGTGACTTTATATAGTACTTCCACTCTTAACAGGCTTTCTAAATTTTAAATGAACAGCTTTCAATGATACCAAAGATTTATGTAAAATATCGCTAAGTCCAAGTGGTTAAATTTAAATAACCACAAGGTCTTAAACATATTACCATTTACAGCATTAATAGATGAGAATATATAAATATATTTAGCAAATTTATATGTATTATTGTAAGAGAATTTAATAAAAACATTTATTTTAAAATAAAAAATAAAAAAATTTAAGTGATAATAACATTCTCTGCTAAATTTACATTTCACTTCTGTGCAATTCAGTTTTGCTGTAATGCCTTCTCTTAATTAAGTAATAATATCACTGTTAAACTATTTATAATCTTTTAATATATAGTCCCATGCAAATTAGTAAACTACAAGTCAATGTAAATATTATGGTGTTTTACTGACCGCATTCTCATGGATGAGTAGATTCACAGTTAGACAAAAGGAAAAGAGTAGCTTATCTTTCTCAAAAAGAGACCGGCAGACATTAACATAGAGTGAATAAGTGAAATGGTCCTTGAGGATCTGAAGCCTGAGAGCCAAAAGAAAGAGTGGATAAATAAAAGTATGTTAGACTTTAAAGAAAGTGCTCTTAAGAAAATCCATTATAGATGATTTGAATGTATGTTCTTCTCACACACTTTCTGGTCAATTACTCCACCAAACAATCAAGGATTTGCACTAAATGGGCACACCAATTTGGGAGCAACACAATGTAGAAGCACTGCAGAACGACTGCATTTTACTGCTGACTGATTTTTTGTTTTGTTTTGTTTTTGTGGTACTGGGGTTTTACTCAATGTAGAAACACTGCAGTAGAATTGCATTTTACTGTTGACTAACTTTTTTGTTTTGTTTTTGTGGTACTGGGGTTTGAACTCAGGGCCTTGTGCTTGCTAGGCAGGAGCTCTATCACTTAAATCTTACTCCCAACCCTTTTTTGATTTGGTTAATTTTGAGATAAGCTCTCACATTTATGTCCAGACCAACCTGGACCGTAAGCCTCCTATTTATACTTCCTGAGTAGCTGGATGAGAGGTGGGTGCCACCGTGCCCAGCTTTTACTGGCTGAGGTGAGGTTTCATGAACTTTTTGCCACATTTTTATTTGCCACAGAGATAAAACTTGGATATATGAATAACAATATTTCCAACTAACAACTTTTTAGTGGTGCTAACATGTGATCTGTGTCATAATTCTTAATATGAGTATAACACTTTAACCTAATTAGCACAGGAAATAAAGTACCATTAAACTCAAATTTTAGAAATATTTGTATTATACAGGTTATAAAAATTATAACAGAAAAGAACAATTGGCTGAAAACATTGTAGAGAGCTAATGACTAACATGGATTAATAATCCAAACTTTCTGAGAAGATCAATTTATCTGAAGGAAAAAAATCAACATAGTTTGATTTATGAATAGGCGAAATTATACTGATGTTTCTTAATGTCTTTAGAAAAAAACCTATACTAGTATACTAGTCTACTTCCTAGATTCATATCTGAGCTGTCACTTATTCTAGCTTTATTTTTTTCCCATTTTCCTTACCTGCCTATTTCTTAAACATTTTATTCTGTGCTAGCATTGCCATAAATAGAATGACAACAGGGCTGGGGATGTAACTCAGTGGTTAAGTGTTCGCCTAGCATATGCAGGACCCTGGATTCAATTCCCAGTATTGCTAGAGAGACAGAGCGGGGAGGGGGAGGAGAGAATGACAACAAACTGATGTATCCTATTTCTAATTGAAAACTCTGATAAAGAGTTTGGTAGAGAGGGCTTTGAAAATAGCTACTGAAATACAGTTGAATTCTTAGAAGATTTAAAATACTGTACTATACTTGTTTCCATTGTTACACTAATAAGTCTTTTCACGGATAGCATTTAATTTGATTCACGTGTAATAGTATAATTAATACAAGGTGACTCAGATTTGGTTTTTCTAGGAAAAAATTTAAATGTCTCTAACACAAATTTCCTCTTGTTAGATATGAAGATTAAAGTGAAATTAATGTAAGTGTCAGCATATTAAAAGTTCAAATTCAATCACACTAGTGATAAAGCACAGATTAAAATGTGATATTTTAAGAACTTATTACAGTAAGGAAACAACATTGAAATCATCACGCAATGCTGGTGAGTGGTACCGTGTTATAAAATCATTCATGTTCCTCTGATGGAGTTGTATGTTTGACTAACTTTCCAGAAAAGGAATTTATAGATAAGGAAATAAATAATTGTGTGGACATTTATTGCAGCATTATTTATAATACAAAAGCTGGAAACTACCTACAAGTCTTACAAAAAGAAAGGAAGCAGTTCAAGTCAGCCTGGGCAATAAAAGTGAGACTCTATTTCAAAACTACCCAACTCATAAAAAGGGCTGGCAGAGAGGCTCAAGTGATAGAGTGACTGGCTAGCAAGCAAAAGGCCTTGAGTTCAATCCTCAGTACTACCAAAACAAATAATAAATAAATGAACAAACAAATGCATCTGCTTTCTTTCTCCACTGCCTTTCTGGAGAGGATTTTTGAGTTGGGAGGAGATTGAGATTTTAATTATGCTTCCTCAACAATAGTCACACAATTGAAACGAGCAAAACACAACACTATCCAAAGCACTATGCATGAATTTTGCATACACAATATTGAGAGCAAAATGCCAGACACAGAAAAGCACACACATTAGTTCTAAATACATGAGGTTCTAAAGCAGACAAAACTCATCTATGGAGTAGGAAGTCAGGCAGACTTCCTGCTCCAGGTTAGCTTGTGGAAGGGAAATCAATGACTATAAGGGCACAAAATGGGTCTTCTGGGTGGTTGATAATGTTCTATGCCTTGAGCTGGGTGCTAGCTACACAGGTGAACTATGAAAATTCACTGGGCAAATACTTGTGATTTCTACACATCTCTGTAGGCATAATAACTTCAGTAAAAGTTTACAATTTTTTTTATTTAATCTTCAATTCCAGAATTATACTGTGCATTTACTGGTCATGAGTTTCATTATTTCTAAATTAAAGGATTTTATCTACAAAGAAGGAGCCACAATTGCCAGGTGGTGGTGATCCTAGCTACTCAGCAGGCAGCAATCAGGAGGATCACGGTTTGAAGCCAGCCTGGGCAAATAGTTTGTATAACCCTATTTCAAAAACACTCATTACAGAAAAGGCCTGGTGGAGTGGCTCAAGGTGGAGGCCCTGAGTTCAAATCCTAGTACTTAAAAAAAAAAGTCACAATTGTTTTCTATATTTCCCCTAACTCTCAAATCTGGGTAAAAAAGATTTGATATTTTTTAAATCTTTAAGGGTTCTACCACAGTTCTGAAGAAATGGATGCCATATCTTGGAAGAGCTCTATCTTGGTATAGCAAGAGAAAAATCAAAGACCAAGAGTTATGTCTAAAGCATGGAATTGTTCTAGTTTTTTTTTTTAACTTTTACCTTTAATATGCTGTGATGAGTTACTAATGGAATTTTAACATCAATTGACCTTAAATTACTATGAAAAATCTCACTTAGTCATGAAATTGTATTTTTTATGTCACTGAATTCAGCTTGAAAATATTTTGTTAGGATTTTTCATCTGTGTTTGTGAAGAAGATTGGGGTGCAATTTTCCTATCTTGTGCTGTTCTTGTCAGGTCTTAGTGTTCATTTAGTCATCACTCCTTTTAATGTGTTCTGAAATGGTTTATGTAAAATTGGATTTTTCCCAATAATGATTATTAGAAAATAGCAGAAGAAAATATCTAGAACTGGTCTATTTTTTTTTAAATCAACATGTTATTAAATGGCAGACCAAAGAAATTTCCTGGATTTAAGTAAAATCCAAATACCTGGATTTTAAATTAGTTAGAAGATAACATTCTAGTGGCTATTGTTTGAAGCAAGGTTGAAAGTCAACAACTGAGTGAGGATGTGAGGGCGATCTGGCTGTGACATCTGTCACCTCATTGATGGCCAGGGTTGATTCAGCTGATCTGACTGGCTAGGCAGATGTCCCCTTCCTTCCTCACTGCTCCATGTGGGTCCCTCCTGAAGCTGCGTACTTTCTTGATCTATGAGTACAGCCATCCCTGATAGAGGAGGACCTTCTTTGGTCAAGGGTATACGAGTAGCTGTGCTCCCCTTCTAGAACCTCTAAACAAGCTTTCAAGAACTGAGTGAGAACCTGAATATCACTCTATGTGGCTGTAATGTGATTAGCATTTCAGTTAAGTGATGTAATTTAAAAAAAACAATCATTGTCTCAGGGAACTTGAACTGTACTTTGAAAACCAGACATGCATGTTTGATTAACTAACCTGTAATTCAAACAACTGGGAACTTTTAAGAGAAAGATCACATAAAATTTTATTTTCTATTACCTGAAAATTTCAGGAACTAGAAAAAATAAAGAAATAACCTAAGCACTTTCAAGTATTACATAAAAATGAACTTTAGACTCTATCATCATACATTTCTTAACAGAAAATAACTCCCTCCCTTCTCTTTCTGTGGGTGGATATCTGAAAATATTTTTGCCAACCCCAAAATGTCATCTTTTTTGGGGGGGCCATACTGGAACTTGAATTCAGGGTTTCACACTTGCCAGGCAGGCACTCTACTACTTGAACCGCACCACCAACCCTCAGCTATACATCTTCTTAGTTTAATTTTTAAGTTTGTAAAGTAATAAATAATTTTTTTTCAATTTAAGAATACTCAAAATTTCAGACCTCTGCCATGACAAACAGAAGGAATTCAATTCAGATTTCAGTGTTATTAACATTTTAGATTTCTAAAAAGTAATTCTTGGCTATATGAATATAACTATTTAATTGAGAAACTGCTTGGCAGGTATGAGTAGTAAAGAAACTGAAGTGTCTAGGTTCAAGATGACCAAGAAGTTTATAAAGGGCAAAAGATGCAACTATTATTTTTTTCAAGAAATAATTTCATGTTGGATCCTATTAAAAACAAATACCAAACTAAAAATAAATTATCTCGCTGATGACAAATCAAATTAATTCTAGTCTGTCATAGACCTACTGTTAATTCTTAATTCCTTTACTCATTTACAGCTAACAATAAAATAAGGTATTTTATGTAAATATGAATAACAAAGAAGGACTGATTCCTAAAAATAATCACAGTAAGATTTGAGTTCTATTACCCTGGTACGTGACAGATTTTATACATGTATGTATCAAAATGTGAAACTGAAGGTTTTGAAAGGCAAACTCAGAGAATAGGAGATACATTTTTGAGGGTATTTACTGCTCTTTGTCTATCTCCAGTCATTTATGTATTTCACAATGGTAAGTAGAGATAAGTGTTTCCCTTTTTAAGAATTGTATTATAATCCTTTATCTCTGTCAACAATTTCTTGGCAGACTAAAATTGGACACCTCTTGTCTAATTTTTGTCAGATTTATTCCTGCTACAATGCTCAATCAAGTTCATTTTAGGTAAGGGGCAGTGATGCTCTGAAATAACAATGAAAGCCACAGATTATTGATTTTCATAAGTTAGTATTAATTAAATTTTTTTACATACCTTTTGGATAAGTTTTCTGATTTCTCTGAATTTTCAATAGATAGGATGAAAAGGTTAATAAACCAGACCAGTGAGTACTGGTACATGGGCTCAATGTTGGCTAAATCAGCAATAGAGAAAAACAGGATGGAGGAATGGACAGCAATAGGACGATAGCCCATGCGGGTGGCATCAATCTTTTTCTCTGTCTCTTCAGCTACTTCCTGCTTTTGAGAAATCTCATTAGCCAAAGCCTTGGAGGAAGATAATATCTTAATAGCAGTTTCATCTTCTAATATATTGCCTTCTGATGTTGAAAGAACTTCTAAAATCTTGTCTTCTATTTCTTTCAACTGCCTAGAACAAAACACAATTTTCTCAGAAGAAAAAGAAATCATTTAGTCGCCTCACATAAGTGTTCTTTTGTAAGAAACAAAGAGCTTATAACCTAAAGAAATGCCTTGCTTTGTGGCAAATATCTGTAATGACAATGCTATATAATTAATTTCTTATCTGGCAAAATGTCAGGAAGACAGCCCTTCCTGCTCCAATCCCCTCTCTAATGATCATTTATGTGGTGCCTCAAGAGAAACATGGCAAGCCAATCTACTCTGTCAAGGAGTCTCTCAGCTCAGAGGGAACAGAAAGAAAGTGCCACTACTCCATTTATTCCCTGAAGTTTTACATGACTCACACAGCTATACCCTTCCTACCAGTGATACGGATATTAAGAACAGAAAGTGGAGTGCTCTAATGAGAACAGGTATCCTTGGTTGCATAATGAACAATAAACCTTTGTGCTGAAACTTTGTTGAAGGGTTGAAAATGCATTTCCTTGATTTGTGGCAGATCCTCCAGCTCTTCAAGTGTCTAAGAATTTACATGTAAAAAACACTCAATAATACAATTTTCTAAATTAATATATTAATACATTTTAAACTTTCCTGTTCATGTACCTATTTAATCTAACAAAGTAGATCTTTAAAAATGTGCTTTAACTCATTCTAAGTGATCTCAAAACAAATCTATGTTTTATGACATTTAAACCTTTTGTTTTCAGCTCCTTGTAGTATTAAAGCTTGCTTTTCTTCTTCAAGGTCTGGCCTTTCTCGGGCCACCACAATTCCCAGAAGCTGGTCTTGCATCCCCTCCGAAGTTATCATGAAGTTTAATACTGTTACCTGAAAGAGAAAGAATACGTTTTAAAATGCATTATTTCCAAGGAGAAAGCCCCTGCTTGGATGCCTCAAGTTCTAACCATAAAATAGATTCCATTTACTGTAATAGTATATATAGGTGTGGAATTCATAGTGAATATAATCAAAGATGTAGGCAAAATCAAAGATGTTACTGTTGGATTAAAAACTCACAAAAGTTTGTCATAATGAGAAACTTAATACTTCAAAGGATTTGTTCAGTGATCAGTTTATTCCCATTTCAAACTGGTCCAACTTCTGACAACTCCTCAACACCAAAATCAATCAATAAGCCTTCCTGTGGGCTAGACTAGTTGAGTGACATTTTAAGGAGCCTAGTGTGTCACTAGTAAAGGAAATTTTACAGAGTGAGAGAAGAGAATAAAAGGACACAGTAGTTACTTGTCATGCTAAGTATTTCTACAATATGGTAATGAGCCACTATTATGCATAAGAGGTTTACATTTTAATGGTGTCCATCAAGAAGCTGTCTGCTTCATCCAGGCTCTTAGAGGCAGATCTCCCTCTCTGTTGCCCACATCTTAAAATTTTCCCTCTCCTGCTTCTTTCCCATAAATACATAAACATGCTTAGGTCTCTCTTTTTAAAAAACAAACAAATCATTCAACTGCTCTCACAATTCCTTCCGGCTATGAAATGATCTCTCTTGGTACTTCACAACTCTATTCAGCCCTCGACAATCCACTTTTCTGTCTCTGGGTACCCATCAATACACACAAGCAATAAACCATAGCAACTTTCTGATTCCGGTCACCAATGAATGCTTAATCCATAAGCATTTAATTATGTTAACTAAACCTCCTTTTACAACTTCCTTTTATAATTTCTCATATATTTGAGTGAAGGTCTGCACCTATGTCATAAGGCTTGCACAACTCCCTTTCAGGTCTTTCATTTTAGCTACACTGTGAACCGATCGTAGAATACCAGAAACACCAATGAAGACGTGCCTCCATGTGCTTCAGTGTTCCCCTACTTGCACCCGTCCTCTCATAATTGACCAGATCAACAGGCCATCTACACATTGCAGATCCAGGGTTACTTCCTCTTGGAGGTAACTTTTTCAGAAAAGTGTGCCACCCCCACCAAGGCTACTTCCTGTACTTTTTCTCTAAGCTCCTAACTCCTTACAGGACACATTACACTGGAAGTAGAGATGGCTTTACTCATCTATCCCCTAGACTAGAGCAAAGTAACTTTAGCACAGTGATCATGCCTTATTTGAACTCACAGCTCTACTGTCTGCATGAACAATCAGAATGTCAGTGTTTTCTGTACATTTAGTTGCTTTCTACTACTTCTAGTTCCTAAAATTTTAGGTATTTGATGCTTATTCCCCAAAGCATTTCACATAAAATAACAGCTACAGTGAATCAGGTCCTATGCTATGAAGTGATGAAGCCCCTGATCTTAGGAGTTTTAGTTTATCAGGGTAAACAATATTATAAACAACATCCAATGAGACAGGGACACTGACAGTAGTAAACATATGACACACGGAGGAAGGGCATCTAATGCAGGTCAGGAAGTCAAGAAAGGCTTCCCACAAGGATAAGACCCCTGTCTTAGTCAAAGGAAAGAGAAGGGCAAATTGTAGGCCAGAATGTTTCAACCTTAGCTGCTTTTTGGATCTTCTGCAGAGTTTAGAAACTAGGATTATCTGGATTTCATTTCTAGAGTCTCATTGAATTGGTCTGCAGTGGGGCCAGGGTCTTTGGGTGGGAGGTGTTTTGATTGTGCTGCCAAGGCTGAGGATGGCTCCCAGCACAGGGCACAGCAGAGGCAAAGCAGCTTAAGAAAGCAAGGCTATACAAAAGGACTTCCTCATAGAATCCCAGCAGCTCAGCAACTAAGAGAAAGGATGGACAAATGGGACTTCATATAATTAAAAGGCTTCTGCACAACAAAAGAAATGGTCTCTAAACTGAAGAGACCACCCACAGAGTGGGAGAAAATATTTGCCAGCTACACATCAGACAAAGGACTGATAACAAGAATATACAGGGAACTTAAAAAACTAAACTCTCCCAATATCAATGAACTAATAAAGAAATGGGCAAGTGAACTTAACAGAACTTTCTCAAAAGAAGAAATTCAAATGGCCAAAAAACACATGAAAAAATGTTCATCATCTCTATCCATAAAGGAAATGCAAATCAAAACCACACTAAGATTCCACCTCACCTCTGTTAGAATAGCCATCATCAAAAACACCACCGACAACAGGTGTTGGCGAGAATGTGAGGAAAAAAGAACTCTCGCACACTGCTGGTGGGAATGCAAGCTGGTACAACCACTCTGGAAAAAAACTTGGAGACTTCTTAAAAATCTAAACATAGACCTGCCATATGATCCAGCAATCCCACTCCTGGGGATATACCCAAAGTAATGCAACACAGGTTACTACAGAGGCACTTGCACACCCAGGTTTATTCACAATAACCAGTTATGGAAACAGTCAAGATGCCCCACTACTGACAAATGGATTAAGAAAATGTGGTATTTATACACAATGGAATTCTACTCAGCCATGAAGAAGAATGAAATCTTATCATTCACAAGTAAATGGATAGAACTGGAGAACATCATTCTAAGCGAGGTTAGACAGACCAAAAATCGTATTTTCTCCCTCATATGTGGATTTTAGATCTAGGGCAAATACAGCAATGTGGTTGGACTTGGGTTACATGCTAAGGGGAGAGCATATATTGGAGGAATGGGGATAGGTAGGAAACCCAAAACATGAAAGTGTTTGATGTCCCCACTGCAGAGGAGCTAATACAGAAACCTTAAAGCGACAGAGGACAAGATGGGAAGGTGATCGGAAACTAGTGAAAAGGTCAGGTAGAGATGAATCAATTCGGATTGTAACACACTTGTGCATGGAAGCAATGTTAGGAGTCTCTCTGTATAGCTATGTTTATCTCAAAGTAGCAAAAATGCTTTGTCTTTCTTATTATTGCTTAAGTTTTCTCTTCAAAACAATTGCAGAAAAGGGCAGAACAGGTTCTGCCTGGAAGTGAGGAGGGGGAGAGGGAGGTGGCGGGGGGGGCAGGGGCAACTGAAAGCAAACAGTTTCTGTCATGTGGTATATCTGACAGTTCAGCCCTTGCTTTATTGTTCACAATATTAGATATGTTTTCTTACTCCCCAAAATATGACAAAATATTCAGCAACTACCACAAACCACAGGAGGCAACTCAGTGTTTGCTCCAGTTTCAATAGTCTCTTAACAAAAGAAAGATTTCCTACTAGGCAGCACTCTTTTAAACCCAGGTAATAGTGCTAAACTCTATCTATTAGTGACCATTTTGTCCATAATTTTATGTCACAACTTACTTACATTGGAGCAGCTAAAAATCTGCCATTTTTTTGCATACCCCAATTGTTTTTTTGCTAAGTCCCTTTTTTTTTTAAATTCATATGTGCATATAATGTTTGAGTCATTTCTCCCCCTTTCCCCCTGCCCCCCCCTTACCCCCCCATATCCCTCCCTTACCCCCTTTACCCCTCACTACCAGGCAGAAACTGTTTTGCCCTTATCTCTAATTTTGTTGGAGAGAGAGTATAAGCAATAATAGGAAGGACCAAGGGTTTTTGCTAGTTAAGATAAGGATAGCTATACAAGGAGTTGACTCTCATTGATTTCCCATACATGTGTGTTACCTTCTAAGTTATTTCTTCTTGAACTAACCTTTTCTCTAGTTCCTGGTCCCCTTCTCCTATTGGTCTCAGTTGCTTTTTTTTTTTTTTCAGTTTCCTCAGTTTTATTGTTTTATTTTTATTTATTTATTTTTTATTCATATGTGCATACAATGTTTGGGTCATTTCTCCCCCTCCCCCCACCCCCTCCCTTACCACACACCCTGCCCCCCTCCCCCCAACCCCCTTGATACCCAGCAGAAACTATTTTGCCCTTATTTCTAATTTTGTTGAAGAGAGAGTATAAGCAATAATAGGAAGGAACAAGGGTTTTTGCTAGATGAGATAAGGATAGCTATACAGGGAGTTGACTCACATTGATTTCCTGTGCGTGTGTGTTACCTTCTAGGTTAATTCTTCTTGATCTAACCTTTTCTGTAGTTCCTGGTCCCCTTCTCCTATTGGCCTCAGTTGCTTTTAAGGTATCTGCTTTAGCTTCTCTGCTTTGAGGGCAACAAATGCTATCTAGTTTTTTAGGTGTCTTACCTATCCTCATATCTCCCTTGTGTGCTCTTGTTTTTATCTTGTTATCAAAGTCCAATCCCCTTGTTGTGTTTGCCCTTGATCTAATGTCCGAATATGAGGGAGAACATACAATTTTTGGTCTTTTGGGTCAGGCTAACCTCACTCAGAATGATGTTCTCCAATTCCATCCATTTACCAGTGAATGATAACATTTCATTTTTCTTCATGGCTGCATAAAATTCCATTGTGTATAGATACCACATTTTCTTGATCCATTCGTCAGTAGTGGGGCATCTTGGCTGTTTCCATAACTTGGCTATTGTGAATAGCGCTGCAATAAACATGGGTGTGCAGGTGCCTCTGGAGTAACCTGTGTCACAGTCTTTTGGGTATATCCCCAAGAGTGGTATCGCTGGATCAAATGGTAGATCAATGTTTAGATTTTTAAGTAGCCTCCAAATTTTTTTCCAGAGTGGTTGTACTAGTTTACATTCCCACTAGCAGTGCAAGAGGGCTCCTTTTTCCCCACATCCTCACCAACACCTGCTGTTAGTGGTGTTGCTAATGATGGCTATTCTAACAGGGGTGAGGTGGAATCTTAGTGTGGTTTTAATTTGCATTTCCTTAATGGCTAGAGATGGTGAGCATTTTTTCATGTGTTTTTGGCCATTTGAATTTCTTCTTTTGAGAAAGTTTTGTTTAGTTCACTTGCCCATTTCTGTATTGGGTCATTAATTTTGGGAGAATTTAGTTTTTTAAGTTCCCTATATATTCTAGTTATCAGTCCTTTGTTTGATGTGTAGCTGGCAAATATCTTCTCCCACTCTGTGGGTAGTCTCTTCAGATTAGAGACCATTTCTTTTGTTGAGCAGAACCTTTTTAGTTTTATGAAGTCCCATTTGTCTATGCTATCTCTTAGTTGCTGAGCTGCTGGGGTTCCATTGAGAAAGTTCTTGACTATACCTATTAATTCCAAAGTATTTCCTACTCTTTCTTGTACCAACTTTAGAGTTTGGGGTCTGATATTAAGATCCTTGATCCATTTTGAGTTAATATCGGTATAGGGTGATATACATGGATCTAGTTTCAGTTTTTTGCAGACTTGCATACCCAAATTTGAGATTTTTTTTTTAAAAATCAAAACTTTCAAACAGGAAAATTAGAAAGAAAGAAACAAAAACCCCAATGGGCAAACTACCTATGTAGAATGGGTTATAATCCACCAAACATAACGTATTCAGTTTATTGGAAGGATTATTTGCACATCAAAGTGTTGTTCTTATTTTTCTTTTATTCCACCTAAAGCTTTGCTGATCTAGGAAGTACCTTGTGTAGATTAGAAAAAGGTGCCTTCACCTTGTAGACTCAGCTCCAAAAGGAGGTCAGTGTGAGATTTTAGCCCTGTTGGTCTCTACCTTTGTGGAGCTCAGCCAGAGAGGCAGCTACCATTCTTCCTTTAGGGATGAGCAATATTTCTCCAGCAGTAGACGGGTTTAAAAAAAAGTGGAAGGGTTACTTTTTAAATCTCTATGAGTTCTTTGATGGTTTTGCCTGGTTTGTAAATTGCTGGCATCACCAACGCACAAAGGTTTTCCTTTCTTCTGAATGGAAAATAGATGATTTTGTACTGATGTTGCTTTTCTCTATTTTCAGTCTTTGTCTTTACATCCATGTATCCCCAGCTCTGGCTACAGGGTGAAAGACAATATGCTTCCCTGCCTTTTCTTGTAAGAGAATATTCCTTTCACAGGAACAGAGTAATTTTGTTCTTGTTAGGAAATTTTTTACCTGGGGTCAGTAAGTGCAAAGTAGCTTCTTGTGGTTTCCCTAGAGAGGTGACTCCTTTCTCCCACCAAAGCCAAGCACCTGCTGAACAGTGAGCGTCCTCTGGGTCACACGTTTCCCTTATGTGCCCCATGCCAGGCACTAAGTGTAGATTACATGTATGTAATTGCACATTTAGATGTAAGAATAAGCAATACTTGAAATTAAGCAATTTGGAAAACACATTAAATATGATGTAATTCTCTAATGCTTGGGCATTATTAATGGAAAAATTATAATTAAAACTTTGAAGAGATTTTTCCTGTTGGCATGAGAAATCAAGCACACAGCATACATTTATTGCAATCCAAAAGTCACAGGCACAGTGCTAGAGGAATGCATGTTTTATAACTTTGACTTCATTTCAATCAGACACAAGAAGGTATTTATTCCTATTCCATTAATGTTGGATCTTTTAAAGTCAAGATTTTGCAACCTAGCCACTTATTCACAAGCATTTGAAATCATGTGAATATGGTTTCATAATTTTATTTTTATTTAGATGCAAAAGGATTATAGCAGCACGACACCATCCCATGGGTGATTTTGAAAGCAAACGTTACATAAAAGATCCTGAAAAGTAGGATCAAGAGGAAGTATTCTAATCTGTAAATGAAAGCAAGTAACTGCCTCACCATGTTTTGTAATCCCTGTTTAATCAATCCCAGCAATTAAAAATAATGAATCAATAAGACACTCTAGGGATCTTAAGGATTTCAATACTGAATCATAGATTAGTTTCTTTTCCACAGAGTTTCAGAACTTCTACTAAAACCAGTTATTAGTAAACAAAGAGTTGTTCATGTTAAGTGTGAGATTTTCACACATTTTACTGGAAAGTTAAAAAAATGTTTTCCATGTTATTTATTACAATATGTTTTCTTAACACAGCTTTGAAATTTTTTCATTTCCTCTTATGCTTCATTCTTTCACACTTTTACTTAAAAGTTAAACAATAATGCTAAAAGCTAACACTAATATAACATTCCAAGCACTTAACATAGATAAACTTATTTAGTTTTCATTGGCACTTATGAGATGGAGTTATTATTCCCATTTACAGATGAGGGAATTCAGGTAAGTGGCAACACCCCAAATTATAGCCATGGTGAGTGAAAGCAGGGATTCAAATCCATACTCTTAACTATACTAGATAGTCTCTTTCCTAATGCATAAATAGATAATAGGTAATTTTTAGGTGATTAGATAACATACTGTACCTTAACTAGTTAAAAACAGTGGTTAAGAATTTCCATATTTTAACATTTTGTTTTAAATATTAAGCTATTTTCCCCCAGTCTTCCTGGCATTCTGAATGCCTAGTTTAAGTGTATCCTCAAATCTGAGCTTTCAGGACACATATTTGCTCTCCAATTTCTTCTTGTTTATACAAATGTAGCCATTTCACACTCACACTGCTGGGTTTACAGTGTAAACCTCTTGAGAGCAGGCATCATGTTTATTCATCTTGGAGGGACAGAATCACACCATTTTAGTCCTTCCTCTGCTTCTCTGCAAAGAGATGCCTGCATTAACTTAAATATTTCCAATCAAGGGAGGAATCTGAACTCACTAGACATATCTTGTCTATATGTACCTTTCAAAATCAGAATCAATATTATTTAATGTTGTCTCCCGCATGTTTCTGTAAACAAAAGCCATCCTTCTTTCACTCAATTCACTGACCACATAAACATTTACTGACTACCATACTAACTAGGCTAAGAATTAGGAGTAAAAAAGAGAAAATGGTGTCATTCCTAAAACCCCCAAAAGCTCCAATGCAGAGCTACAGCTCAAGTCATTTTACTCATTGAATAAAACTTTCACTTTACTCCTTAAAGGAATTTTTGGTATTTTAAAAGAACAGTTTTTTTTAAGTAGTTATACTAAATCAGATAGCATTAGCCTTAGTCTGAGGAAGAAGAATGGAGCTCTGTTCCTGCTCCAATTCCAATAATTAGCATATTATCATTTATTACAAAGAAAGAGTGTGAATACATGTCATCTATTTTTAACAATGAAAATCTAAGGATAATATCAATTGTAGAAATTAGATTCTGATGGTCCTTTTTCACAGCATACTGAAGGCTCCTTTACTACTCACATGCACACACAAAAGCAGCATTTGGAAATTATTATAGCAATTTCAGGAAATACAAAAAAGGGTAAAACCCAATTTTCTTAGGAAGCATGGTCCTCTCTTAGGTGAGGAGGAAAATATACTCAGCAAATTGTAAAACTTGGTAAAGAAGCATTCATTTAAGGTACTAGCCTTCACTGATGTTTCAGGAAGATAATGAGGGTTTCGTAACTTGGTGGTAATATAGAAGCGGAAGTCTGGAGAGTATTCAATTGTAGAGTCCCCAAGCCGAATACACACACTCCCACTGTGCTTAAAGGTCTGTTTTAGTAGAAGAGGTTCCAAAATAGGGTCCAGTTCTTCTCCAACATTTTCTAGCAACACTGGAGTAAAGTCAGAAAAAAGATTCCATATTATTTTAAATATTGTCTATAAACATTCAATCCTAAATTCTTTCAGCTTTTAAATTACTTTGATTCCTAGTTACCTATAAAATTAATTTTATCTTCTAAGAACAGGGAAATGATGCTATAAAATACTGTATGCAAGCGGCAAGAACTCAGTTGGTAAGTCGACCTAGTCATCCCTCCTACCTCCATACCCCTTAACCAACAGGCCAACTGCCCCACTTGGTGTTCCCCACCTGGCCTGGGATTCACTGTGTATCCAAGCATGATAGCAGTGTCACCTAGTCATCTGAGACACCAGAAAAAAAGCATTTCTAATTGGGTTACTTAAATGGTTACTGTGTTTTAATTATAAAATTTTCATGTATATTGCAGAACATCTGGAAAATATAAAGAAGCTGGAAAACTACCTCTAATCAGATTTTCTTTACCTTTCTCTCTCCCTCTGAATACTTTACATAGCTGATTAAAATCATATACAGGTTGAAAGAAAAATAGCACATAACATACAGAGCATGATAATTATTTAATAAATAAATTATATTTTCTCCCAGTATTTTTATCCATATTTTCCCTTGCATCTAAACAATATATTGAATTTTGCATCTTAATTATTTTCCTTGACAGTATAGCATAAATATTTCCCCATGCTATTAAAAACTGTAAATTCATGTTCTCTCATTTTTTAACCAGTATTATAAGACATTTGGATTTTTTTCTTGTTCTATACAATAAGTAGCACTATATACAAAACTGTGCATTTCACAATATTTTCTTCTGAGAGCATTCTACGAAGGAATTCCTGGACAAAATATGGGTGACATTGTTAAGACCCTTAGTGCATCTGCAAGTCCTACAGAACCTGGGGTGCTATCATAGCCAAACTTGGATCTGGGTGCCCTGCATGAGTCCTTCAAAGGACTGGGTGTGCATCTAGATGTGAAGGAGGAGCTCAGAGAACTAGAGTGACAGGTATTTGAATCTCTACTCCTGGCTAAATGATTTCCTAAAATTGTCTTCTTATTAATTTCCTCCACTGCTGGGATCTTGGCCAAAGGAGACATATCAGATGATTTTTATTTTATGCTTGTTTAAAGTGATTATTTTTTATGGTTAAGTAATGAGTACATCACACTCATTTAAATCTGTTAATCTTCTATTATTTAGGGTGCTTCCATTTTCCACTATTATTAATAATGCTATAGTAAACATCTCTTTGAATAATAAATCTTTGCGTTCATCCCTGACCACTGATCAGGCCCGAGTCCTAGAAGTGGAATTAATGATCAACTATTAAGAACATTTTAAAAGCTATTTACATTGTCAGACCACTTTCCTGAAAAACTACAGAGATTTCAGAGTTGCAATGAACACATGTCTTGTCCTTTGCTTTTAAATCTATTTTTAGATAATATCACTGCATTTGAAAATCCTGAACAACATGGTGACATTATATTTTCTTATAATTCTCACAACATTAAACATCTTTAAATATTATCACCTTAGTCCTGCAGGTGAAACAGGCATAGACAGTTGAAGTAAAATTTTCTATTAAATCAACTACTAAAAGACCAAGCAGGGACCTGCTTAGGCAGCATGGCCCCTTATACCATCCTCTTAACCACTATGTGACTCTGTTGGCATTAAGTACTATGTTTGTAACTTTTATGGTTTATAGTTTGTGTTTGGGGGTGGGTGTTTTAGTGGCTAATAGACTAAGTATATTTTTTTTTCTTGATATTGTATGTTAATGTATTAGCTCATTTTTTTCACTGATAGGTATGTGTTTTTATAATTAGGTTCAGTTGTGTCAGAAATCCCCAAATAATAGTGATGTTAACAAAGGGGAATGTATATTTCATGTAAAAGGGAGCCTCAGATAGTCAATCCTGGGCTAGAAGGACAGTGCATCTAAACTGCAAGGGATCCAAGTTCCCACCATCTTTGGACTTCACTATTCTCCATGTGTAACTTTGATCTCCTTGGCTAATATGGCCTTTCAAATCATGTCCACACTCCCCCATCAGAAAAAAGTAAGAAACATACTTTAAGGATATTTCCTGGGGGCAACAAATGGCATTTCCACTTACATGTTGTTGGGTACAATATAGTCATCTGACCAAACCCAACCAAAGTCAGATAGCCATATTCAACCACAACGAAGTTATGAAATAAATGTATGTGTTAGTCAGCTTTTCTTCATTGTGACAAAACATCTAGGAAAAACAGCTTAAAGGAAGATTCATTTGGGCTTATTGTTTCAGTCCATGGTCACTTGGTCTCATCACTATGGGCCTGTGACAAGGCATGGTATCACGGGGAGGAGGGCAGGATGGAGGAAAGCTACTCCATCTAAAGCAAGAGGAAGAGGATGGAACAAGAAAGACCCTTCAAGGGCACACCCCCAGCAACCTATTTTCCTCAGAACCAGGCCCCACTTCCTAATAGCTTGGTCAGCTATGAACTCATCAGCAATTAACCTACTGATGAAGTTAGCCTCCTCATAATCCAGTCACCTCTCAAGAGCACCATCTGCTGGGAACTGAGCCTTTGCAACAGATGAGCCTTTTAGGAGACACTTCATATCCAAGTCACCACAAGGTAATGAACTATATTGTAAAAGAAGAAATTCAGAGATGGAGGAAAGAAAGAACACAGAAGCTAAAGCGTGAAGCAATGTTGCCTGATCCCAACTATCCTGCATTCCCATCTTCTGCTTCATCAGCAGTGTCTGTCTTCCACTTTAAACCGATATGCTCCATGAGCAGAGATCAAGTGCGTCCTGTTCATGCTGAGTTTTCAGTGCCTACCACAGTAACTAGAACATAGTAGCTGCCAAATAAATGTTTGTAATTGAGTGAATAAACAAATAAGAAAATAAAAGAAACATTAAAAGAAGTAGCTTGCCCCCTTGGTTTGTTATATACAAGGGAGAAATCAAGTAAAGTCAGAGAAAAATGCTAGAGGAGAAGATAGGAAAATAAGGAGGGTTCAGATATGACTCAGATATTGCTAGTGATATAAGGATTTTTTTCAAAGAGTCAATGGAAAGACATTAAAAGATCTCTATATATTGATTTCTGTCTCAGAAATATTTAAATGATTAATTTCCTATGCATGTTTTAACCATTATTATAGCTAATACAGATATATCTCTAATTTTTAGAACATTGGCTGCCAAACATTTTAGGCAGAAGAATACTTTTTTTGTAAAGAGGACCTTATCCTAAAACTCAATATAAAAAAAAGGGAGACATGGCTTTGGTTGAAATGGAAGCAAATAGGTGAATGAGGCTAAAAACTCTGCCTTCTTGACCCGGGCTGCCTATGAGGGACAATAGATCAAAAGTCACTGTCCCCGAATGGGCAACATGCAAAGACAACTTCTTAAATGGCAGAGTCTTAAGTACTGATTCTTTTATTTAATGGTTACATGAAAAAATAGCTATAAAATTTTCCACTTGTGTTTTTTTATATGAGATTAAACTTCTCACCTCTCTCTGATGCTTAACGTTAGAAGACATGGCAAATAAATTATTGTACATTTTAAAGTAATTCACCCCCAAAACAGGTTAAATCAACTAAAAATAAGTGTTGCTCATGTACATGGTAAGGTTGGATAGAGGCAGAAGACCTAGAGACTCCCTCAATCGATTGTATAGTCCCGGTTAAGCCACCTAATTAACATTCTCTAATACCTCACTTACCTTCCTAACAAAATGAAGCAGTTGGAATTACTATATTGGATTTCAAATGTTTACTGATACAACTCAAAGTAAGAAATACATTTTTGGGAGTAATGAAAGTGATAGTAAAGTTTATCTTTTACTTTCAATAGACTGAAAGTAGGTCATCTCCAGAGTGAGAATGAGAATGCCCAGAAATAAATTTTAAATCTTGATCCAGGACACTATATATGTATATTATATATATTATATATACATATATATAATATATATATGTATAACTTTAAAAATTCATGAAAGAATGCTTATCCTTACTCTGTGCTACACAACCTAATATGCTCTATTCTTTCATCTTGCATTTTGTTAACACAGTGTTGGTCATGACTCTCTAAATTAGCTTTTCTCCAAATTATGTGACCCATAATTTGAAGAACACTAGATAGGCAAGATATCTATGGCCCTTTCCCCTCTATAATTATGGAATTTTAACAACAAGATACATGGCTGAGATTAGAGAAATCTCAAGAATGCCAAGCAGATGGTAGATGCTCAATTATTATTTATTTTTTATTATACCAAGAAAAATTTAATATACATTTTAAGTAATTTTAATTACCATAGTACTTAAGGCAGCAATTCCTTCAAGAAATCCTTCTTGATTCTTCTGAATTCTCATAGTGCATCATCTATGCTTTTCTCATTATATTTTAAGATGATATGACAACAAAACACTCATGAGACTGGGTAGATAACCAAACGGCAGAGCAAGTATGGAGCATGTACAAAGCCTGGGTTTGATCTCTAGCATCTCAAAGCAAGCAAGCAAACAAAACAACAAAACCCCATAACTTAGGTACTTATCAGACACTGCTCTAAGTATCCAATATATAGGAACTACATTCTTTCTCACATTTTATGGTTAAAATACAGATAAGGAAACTGAGCCACTGAACTGAAAAGCTGCATATGAGAGATACATACCCTGACTCCAGAGCCTCTAACCATAACAGCATACAGGCTACAATAACAATTTGTGATGCACACCCACTTCCTACTTTTACTGCAAGGATGTATAAAAGATCCTGATATTAAACAAGCAAAATATTTGAGCATAGAGATGTACTTTTTGTGTAAATCCTGTACCACCTACAATACTGTAAGAATACAAGTTGCTCTTTTTCACAGTACGGTAACTATAGAGCAAGATAATGTACTATACGTATACATATATTTATATATGTTTTAACTATGTCTGTATGGATTTGAACATTACACAACACGTAAATGAATCAAAACATGACATGTACCCCATAAATATGTATAATTTTTATGTGTCAATTTAAAATAGTTAAAAATTTCAGAACACCAGTTGAATGACTACCTTGTGCATGCATGTGTACACACACATCTATGTCTCCATCACATAAATACAAAATTCAGTGGGTCTATTTAGGTTTTTTCATTTCATACTTACCTTTAACAGAACCTAAAAGTATAATGAATATTTAAAAACTAGCTCATTATTAATATGAAAGCATAAGATGTCTGTAGAACTGCTAGTGTGTTTACTATGATTCTTCCATATTGTACTAACACTAAGAGCAAGTGGGCCTTGCTGAAGTTGTTTGTCCTGGGGCTACTTACAGTTTCATAAGAGTTTACATTTATTTGGTCAAAATTTGGTAATTTACATGAATTTGAAAACATCACTCATAACCCTAATTAACTCAAACCACAAGCATTCTGCAACTTGTTTTGACAAATGTGACATCTGCCTAAGAGCTTGATTGACAAATCCTTGTCCTATTTCTAATCTCTCCAACATAAATGGCAGGTAATAGCCAGGTATGTAAAATCTGTTCTCTCTTCCCTAACACTTTTGTAGGACAAATCAAGAGAAGGATAGAAAATTGGGCTAATGTTGTGTTAAAAACTATTGGCATATCAAGTGGCCCCTTAAATTACAGACTAAGGTTATAATGAAAACTAAAGAACAGCAAACAACAGACAAAAATTAAAACAGCTGTATTAGAGGAAGCACCACAAATGCATCTTGTGATAAGGAAAAGCTCCTAACTTTCTGGGAGGCTCATAACCTCTAAATTTCTTATTTGATTATCAATGAATAATGAGAGAGACCAACAAAGTCACCATTTGTGTTGACCATATGTGACACAGAAAGGTTTTTTGAAATGAAACAGTCTACATGCTTTTGGATTAATTGTGCATTTCCACAGTGTGCTCTTGATTTACATACCAGGAGTACCAAACTGGATGCAATTTTCCAGAGTCCTGACATAGTCAGGATCACTTAATTTAATTAGCTGGAGACTATTGGCTTTCTCCATGTTCTTGATCCATTTATTAGCCTGACCTTGAGGATCTATCATTAGAGGCCACCTTCTTGCATTCCTAAAAGGGAGGAAAAAGATGATTCTGGTTAAACCATGGCTTCTTTCTGTGCTATTTAGTCATGTTCACATCACTTTCTTAAGGTTTATCTTTTATATTAATATTTTACTTTTGTACTTATAAGAACTTATATTCTTAAAATAGCCACATTTAGACTGTGTAGGCTACAAACCATCCCACAAACTTTACACAAGCTTTTTTACTCTTTTTGGAAAATTACAACGTTTGAATGTTAAATTACATGTTTGAAAATATTTTCTGCCTTTGTGGATTATGTCACAATGACAGCCATAGCAATAACTGCGTTAGAAATCAGAAACTCCTGTTGTTCACTAGTCCCTGCCATTAATCACGTCACCTTGGGCAAATCATTTCATTCCTTAGCTTCTACCTGCTTACCTACTATCATTTGTACAAGAAAAGAGAAAGGATTGGAACATCACTTCTCTCTCTCTCTCTCTCTCTCTCTCTCTCTCTCTCTCAAATGTAGACCTTAAAGACACAATGATGTAAAGAAAAGATAAAAAGCACAATATTCTATCATCTAACTTTCAGAATAGCCATGGAAACTGCAGTTTTAATACAACTGTGGACTCATCTTTGTTTCAATCACCATGGGAGAGTTCTATTTAATTGCTTTATTCTTACTCATACCCCCCTTGCAAATGATAGGGACCAGAGCAGTTCCCCATGAGGACTTAGCTTCTTTCCCAGGGTTTTGGGAGTTACAGAGAGTTACTTGGTATCTGTCATCACAACAGGAGATGCAGCCATGCAGCTTTCTGCCTTGTATGAAATGTAATCAGCATGAAGTTATTCTTTTTCTTTCTCTGAGGTGTTTTGATAAACACAAGCCATAAAGACACTGTCATGCTCTTTTAAAAATAAGCAGAGAAAATTTGTTTAGAAAACAAGAAGAGCAGCAGGAGAAAAGAGTGAAGAAATAAAAAGATGGAAATGGAGTAGGATGACATAGCCAATTCACTCTATTTGATCATGAATTTAGAATGTCATTGGAAAATTTGTTTCCCAAAATGAAAGTACTTTTTTTTAGTACATAAGTTACAGCCTGATACAAAACATGTAGCTTAAATAGTTAAAAAAAAAAAAGACTTTCTTCTTTTGGTGGTACTGTGGCTTGAATTCAGGGCCTTGTACTTGCAGAGCCATGCCTCTGGCCCATTTTGCTTTGCTTATTTTTCAAATAGTCTCACATTTATACCTGGGATGTGAACCTCGTATTTACACTTCCTGTGTACCTGGGATGACAGGCATGTGCCACTATGCCCAGCTGTTTATTGGTTGAGATGGAGTCTCCCTAATTGTTTGCTCAGGCTGGCTGCAAACCACAAGCCCCCCCCAATCTTTACCTCATGAGTAGCTAGAGTTACAGGCATGAGTTACCGCTCCTGGCCGTGCCTTGCTCTTAGTATCAGGATTATATAATGTATAAGTCTACTTGGGCCACCATAACAAAATACTACAAATTGGAGGCTTAGTCATCAGATATGTTCTCACAGTTCTGGAGCCTGGAAGCTTAGGATCAAGTGCCACAGGGCCAGTTTCCCCTTGGCTTGCAGATGGCTGACGTATTAATGTGTCCTCACATAGTGCAGGAGACCTTAGTGCGTCTGTTCTTATAAGGGCTCTTATTAGACTACATATCCAACCTTATGACCTCATTTAACCTTAAAGACCGTTCCAAATAAGGTAACATTGTGAGTTATGGCCTCAACATGGGAATTTTTGGGGGGAGGGGACACACAATTTAGTCCATAATGTTGTTTAGGCAGAAAAGAGACAAAAATTAGTGTACTACTTTAGATGTAATTAACTAATAAAAAGAGAATCATATGCCTAAGAAAATAAGGGTATATGAAAGGATATTATAAAGAAATAAAAATTTTAGTATGGAAAAGTTTTTATTCTGTCATACTTTAGAAATATTTTTAGGTTTGGAGAAATGTGTATAAGTGTTAAACTGCACTTATGTCTCCCAAAAGAAATTGAATAATTCACTATTCTTTCTGTTGTCTCCACATTTTTTAAATTGTTTTTACATTTATTCATATGTGTATACATTGTTTGGGACACCTCTCCTCCCTGCCTCTCACTGCCCCCTCCTATTCCGTGCCTCGCTTCCAGGAGGAACCTGTTCTTCCCTCTTGTTCTCAAATTTTGTTGAACAGAAAACATAAGAAACAATAAGAAAGACATAGCATTTTTGCTAGTTTGAGGTAAAGAGAGCTATACAGAGAGATTCCTAGCATTGCTTCCATGCACTTGTGTATTACAACCCACATTGGTTTATCTCTACCAGACCTCTTCACTATTTCCTGGTCACCTTCCCGTAGTGGCCTCTGCCAGTTTATGATTACTTTATTCACTCCTCTACAGTAAGCACATCAACCACATTCAAGTTTTAGGTTTCCCTCCCTCTCCCTATTCCTCACGTGCACATTCTCCTCTTAGTGTGTGACCCATGTCCAAAATATTACTGCATTTGTTTTAGGACTATAACCTGCATAGGAGGGAGAACATACAATTTTTGGCCTTCTGAGCCTGGCTAACTTCATTTACGATGATGTTTTCCAGTTCCACCCATTTACTTGCGAATGACAAAATTTCATTCGTCTTTGTGACTGCATAAAATTCCATTGTGTATAAATACCACATTTTCTTAATCCATTCGTCAGTGGTGGGGCATCTTGGCTGTTTCCATAACTTGGCTATTGTGAATAGTGCCGCAATAAACATGGGTGTGCAGGTGCCTCTACTCCCACATTTTTTTAACCACAGTACACATGTTCATGCTGTTTCTTTGTCCAAAAATGTACTTCTTCCCCACCTGTTCATGTTTAAGTCCTGCTCATGTTTCAAGGTTGCTCAAAGGCTATGTAGTTCACAAAGCCTTCCTTAATCTCTTTCTGTCTGAACATCTTCAGCAATTTATGTATATTACATTTATGGTATTTTCATAGATGATAGTATTCTATTATGGTAATTTTATAATTCCTTAACTGCATTAACCAAACTAAATTATATATTCCTTTGAGGAAAGGCCCATACTCATTCTTCCTTATTTTTTTTTTCCTCAGTCAAATACAATTTGTATTTATTAATTTACTAATTTAGAAACAGCAAAAATCATATGGCAAACATTCTACAAATTAACTCATTAACATTTTAATTCTCAGGCTGGTGGAGTAGCTCAAGTGGTAAGACTGCCTGCCTATCAAACATGAGGCCTTAAGCTCAAACCCCACTGCCACCAAAAAAAAAAAAATTAGTTTCTCTAAATGATTATCCCTGCATAGAAAATACTGGTCCAATGAACAGCATTTCAAAATCAGGGGAAAGGACTTTGATGCTGCTGACCAAGATAAGCTGAGTCCCTTAGAGCCCATGCCTTCCACTGATTACGTAAACATCCTGTATGAAATAAAGAAAAGAACTACTTACAGATTTTAAGATATAAACAATAATGAGTGAATGACAGGAATGTCAAACTTTGAGGAATGACCAATAATGACATGGTAAATTTCCTGGATTTGTTTTTTTCTTTTTGTATTTTGTCTTAGTAGGAACACTGTATAGCAGACACACAGGACAAAAACACAAAATAGAGAAATAAGAAAATGACCATATATGATATGAGCCAGAGAGTATGGAATGAAGTCTGTGTGTGTGTTCTTTTTATTATTCACTTATTTGATTGTTTCTTTTTTGCTTTTCTCTTCTGTTTCTGCTCCAAGATCACTGAATTACCATGGTAGAGGCAAGTAGTGGTGCAGTTTCCTACAACACTGAGAAAACTCCATCTCTCCGTGAAGAGTAATTAACAAAAGTGGATTCTGTTGTCCACAGATCATGAGAGGCAACCCAAGTACTTTATCTCCTTTTTCTGCCACTTTTGCCAGGTGCTAACATGAAAGTGTACAACATTACATGAAAATAAAACTGTAAAAGAATTCCATCACTTTTGCCAGAAAAGGGGCTCTTGGGATGTGAAAATTGTAGGGAAATCCTAAAGAGGAAAGACCTGAAGACAAGATTCACTCACTCTGTGAATGAGGATACAAGCCCTGGGCTCACTGCTCAAGCTGTGCATGTACACAACCCCTCTGAAGAAGGTTACCACAGGCTTTGAACTACGGCGTAAATCTAAGTCCCAAGCACACATTCATATAACGTATGCTGAGCAGCAGATTCAAAAAGCCCATCAAAGGTTTTCAAATCTGGACAGACTGTGGAAGGCATTATCCATTAAGGAAAAGACCGAAATTTTGGTCTAAAATGAATCGAGTCCTTTGACTGCTAAAACAAAAATCAGTCATATTCACTGGATTTTAATATGATACAGAGTTTCATATTCAAAAGTTTTAGGAATACAATACAATCCCGGCTACAGCAGGAAGTGTACAACAGTAGGATCGTGGTCTGGGCTGACCCAGGCCCTATCTCAAAGTAACTAGAACAAAGAAGGGCTAGAGGGGTGGCTCAACTGTTAGAATGCCTACCTAGTAAGTGCAAATTCCTGAGTTCAAATCCCAATAAGGCAAGAATACAACACAAAATCGCTTGGCATCCAAATAATCAGAATGTGATTAATTCTCAAAGAAAATGGAAGATGTTAAAGTTATCAGAAAAAAAAAACTTCAAAGCAGATATTACAGAAATCCTTCATGAGATAATGGTGAATTTTTTAAAGGAAACTGAAAAAGAGACAGACATCCTCAGCATAGAAACAGAAAAGATAAAAAGAACTTAAAAAAATGTAACACATGAAATAAAAATTCCACTATTTTGGCTTGATAGTAGAAAGAAGATGACAAGAGAAATACCAGTAAATTTAAAGACAGATAATACAAAATGGGTCAAATTTGAACAATAAACAGGAAAAATAAGATTAGGAAAAATGAATAATATGTTATTCATACAACAACAATAATAATATGTTATTCATACCACAATACAATATAGAATGTTGAAGAGACTTC